TCCACTTGTTGTGGTAAGTGACGTAAATTAAGCAACTTAATTTCGTTCATTTTTCTAAAAACCTAATAATTTTGTTTTCTAAGTGATGTTGACAAGGTAATGTAAAATACAATGAAAATATCTTTTTTTGTTACCAAACTTTTATTTTACTTCTATCTTAAATCTTATTTTTCTTAATCTTAAATTCTTTAATAAAACACAATATTTTTTTCTAAGTTAAGAGTGATGTTTTATAGTATATTTTTTCTGGTATCAATCCAACTCAAGTAATTGAGTGATGTAAGAGGTTTTTAATGACTTACCTAAATCCTTGTTAATGAACTAAGATAATAATTTTTACAAATAATTTCTAAGTACATAAAAATTGAAGTTAGAAATCAAGAAATTAAATCTTAATCATTTTTGAAAGCTTGTTAACTAGTAGAGGCATCAATAAAAGAAAAATATGATCTATATGAATCACTCACGTGAAACTTTTTGTTTGTTATTTCATTTTTCTATACATCAATACCCGACAATATAATTTAAATAGGTTTAAATGTGATCTTAAAATTATAAAACAAAAATTCACAAACTATCAAACTAGTCCATTGAATTAATTTCTTAAATGAATCTTTTTAACTATGAAAGAGAAAATATAGAAAATAGGTGGACTAGTAGTTCTACTTCGAAAGATGATAACAAAAGGTATAACAGTCTTGTAATAATGAGCTATTGAAAATATTAAAACAAAGTGACTGGCGTGTGAAAAATATAAATTTGTTAAATCCTATATTGTTCCTATTTTGAAATTAAAAAACAATGAAAGAATCAAAGACATTTATCAAAAAAGAACTTTTTCTATGATAATAGTGAATCTTCCTTATTGGATTTCATTGATTAAAGTGTGGAAAATGGAAAGAAGATGGTTAAAATATCATAAGAGTGTCTATTAGTTAATCTATAAATAAAAACATAGCAATTTTTATATAAATTTTTAATCTAAAATTCACAAACTAATATAAAAATAAAGTGTAAATTCTTAACAAAAACATTTAAATAAAATAATAAACTTAAAGGGAAATTATCATAAAAAGGGGTGGAAGTCTCTTGTTAGTTAGTTAAATATCTCGACAAGATAAAACAATAAATCATTATGTAAAAAGTATTGATGGCCTATGACAAAAATTCCTTCTCCTTCTATAAATAGTGGCAAACGACCATTGGAGAAAAAGAAAGCTTCATTTCCTTTCCTTTTTTCTTCAAAATTGGACTTTGTTCTCTCTAAATGGCGGGTGAAGAGAGTGCGGGGAGTGATTATTAGTAGAAAAAAATAATCAAATGAAAATTTTTAAAAAGAAAACAAGTTATGGATTTGAAAGCTATAGATAAAGAAAGTTTAAATTAGTGGAGGAGAAGGAAAGCTTAAAAAGGATTGGCAAAAAAACTTGTCAATTTGGGTTGTTTTAGCTAAGGTAAAGGATTCGTTTCTTTCTAAAGTTTATTTTATCTTGTTTTGGGAGAAAAGAAAAAAAATCCCAAGTAATGAATTTAAAAAAATAATTATTTAGAAGTACTTTGAGTTGATAGGCATGAAAAGATTTTTTTTTAGAGAATTCATAAAAGAATTTGAATAAAAATAAGGATCAAAATGTTAATATATAGTTAGCCATGAGAGGTAACTAGGAGAGATAAGAATTTTACCTAAATGTTGTGATAATATTTGTTCATTAAATATACATGTATAAAAAATTATATTTGAGATAAGTTTTTTGGTTGAATATATAAATTACATGTTGTATGTGTATTTTGAAAAAGTTATATATATGAAATTTTGTGATATTAAATGATTATAAATCAATATAAAAGCTTTTTAAATTTAATTGAAATATAATTGCTGGTTGAATGTATAATTAGCATGTATAAAAGTTAAAAATTGTTTAAAATGTATAAGGGAACATGATTGGTATTTATAAAAGTTTAGAATTTATTTAAAAGGTATTAAATTTGATTTTTTTTTTGGTGTAGAGTTAGTTCAAAAGATATTAAATTGAATTGTGTTTGGTGCCATTAAAGTATTAGATATTAAAATGAATGTGCTTGAGAATAAACTTAAAAAAGATATGATAAATTATAGGCTGTCAAAACTGGTCAAATCGTTAGTTAGAGAGCTTTAGGGTGAAATCTGAGAAGTCAAACTTGATAAATATGTTAATTTGTATTATTTCAATATTTTATGTATCAATAGTGATTCGAATAAGAAAGAGTTAAATTAAATATACAAGTTAGAAAAATTGCATATCAAATTTGATTATTTTTGTAGAGTTTGAAATTAGTATACGTGGAAGTATGAAGTGTTTGAGTATGAATAATGTTTTTAGCATGGTTATTAAATTCATGAGTTAAGTTATTGATATATAGGTAAGGATATCTCTAGTTGATGTTAGCTAAAACTTTCATGAAAGGAGCTCTCGTGATAAATTGATGTTAGCAAATATATCTATAGCTAAAACTTTCATGAAAGGAGCTCTCGTGATAAGAGTATTGTGTAAGTTAAGTTTTTTCTAGCGTTAAAAATGAAGTTTAGGCAATAATAGGTTTTTTAAAGAAGAAAAAATAACACGAGACATGGGTTATTGATTTGACTGAATTCAATAAATTTGGTTAATTTAATAATATCAATTTATAAAGCAAACTCGGACAAATTTCCTAAACCTTGGTTAATTTTTTAAATTCACAACCTGTGAAATCATAAGCTTGAATTTAATTAAAAAGCTTAATTCTCAATCAATTTAATGTTGAAAGATGAAATAAAAAAATTAATTTAAAAAATTTATTAAGGTAAAAAAACAACAATTAAAAGAATGATGATCAAATTTGATAAAAAAGAAAACAAGAGGAGTATGAAAACTATTTCATATAAAATAAATAGTAATTAAAAAAATTATGGCCAAATTTGACAGGTAAAAAATTAAAAGATGGTGAATTTTTTAAAAAAATATAAAGTTAAATTATTTCAAATCAAATAAATAATAATAAAAAGAAAATGGACTAAGTATGAAGAAAAAATAAATTAAAGGGTTCATTGAAAACTTGGAGAGTTAGATGGAAAAATCAAAGAGAAAAAAAAAATATCATTGATGTCAAACTAAAAATTTGTTGGTCACACGTGTCCCTTAAGAATGGAAGGATAATCGAAATGATTCAAACACTGTCTTGAAAGGTATTTTTTTTATTGTTGCACAACTCCTCATGTGTCAAATAAAGGGCGTTGAGTATCTCACGTACTGACATATACCTAGTGCTAGCCATTTTTAATTTTAAAATTATATTTTATATTTATTAAAATAATAAAGTATTCTTTATGTAACTTAATTATAACTAAAAAAAATAGAATAAAAATATGAAAAGCGTTCAAAAAACTTTTCTTTTAAGGATAATTAACTTATTTTATTCTTCTTTAAAAAGTGAAAATTCAAAAAAACTTCTTTATGTTATTTTAATTTTTTTTAAGGTTATTCAATTATTTTAATATGCTTAAAAGAAAGTGAAAAAAAGGCCTTATACCCAATCAATTCTAAAATAATTAATAGACATTAAAAAAAACTCGTATCACCCTCATTAAAGGTTTAATGTTTTTTTTTAAAATGCAAAATAATCATTTCATTAATTTGAGCCTTCAGTAATGTGTCTTGGTACATAGTAAAAAACTAGTTTTTTTTTTTTTTGTTAATTTGCAGTGGGGTGATGTTTGGAGCAAACTAATAAAATAAAAAAAATTGGAACTCAATTAACAAAATGGTGATATATCAAGGACTAATTTGTGGTTTCCTTAAAATTTTAATGACGAGTTAATAGAAAGTGGGCCACCGTTCACTTGAGTGATAATGAAGGCAAACACCGCCAGTACACCCGCCTCCGACATCCACGCTCCCAAACACGTTCTCGTCTCCCTGCGCAGAATTAAACCTTCTGATCCACTCCTTCCATAAACCCGAAAATCAATTAAGTTGAATCCCATCCTCAAACCTGGCTCGGAATATCTTGAAACGCCTATTCCCTCCTCGAACCCGAAGACCCGTTCCAGTCATCGCTCTCGAAATCAGACCGCTGACTGCAAGCAGCAGCAACAGCAACAGCAGCAGCAGTAATTGCCTCTTTAATATGGAAATAAACGTATTCAAATTATGTTCTGGCCTCAAAGTCCTCGGCTACTTAATGATCCTTTTAGTTGCCGCCATCATCGCCGTCTCATACCACGCCGTTGTAATTGTTACCTGTGGCCCACAGTTACTTCGCGGTGGAGCCTATTCTGTTTTGGCTTCTGCTATTATCGTGATCTTTCATTTTCTGGTAATCTTGAGTTTTTTTGTTTAACTGTTGGGTTTTGGGGCTTAAAGTGAAAAATAGAGGGTGAATCTGCCTTATATTTTTTTTTCTGCAGCTTATAATGCTACTGTGGAGCTATTTTATGGTGGTTTCCAAGGACCCTGGTTCTGTGCCTGAAAATTGGAGAGCTGTACTTCCAGAGGAGGCTTTGGAGACTGGTTCTTCATTGAATGATAGGTCAGAATGTGTAGTTGCTACTGATGGATTGGATCGCAGAGCGTTTTGCAATCACTGCCAGAATGGAAAGCCGCCGCGTTGTCATCATTGCTCTGTCTGTAGGCCATCATTTTTAACTTTTAAGTGCTTGGTATTTTCAATGTTCTTGGTTAGTTTCTGTTATGCTAATATTTTGCATGTGCTAGATTTGTCATTGGATGTTTTTCTTTGCATCACTGCAATTTTGTGGACCGCTATTATGTCATAAAGAATCAATTTTTTAAGAACTTTTTGATGTTGTATTCTCTGTTCTGTAGGCCAAAGATGTGTTCTCAAGATGGATCACCATTGTGTTTGGGTGGTGAATTGTGTTGGAGCACGTAACTACAAGTTTTTTCTTCTTTTCTTGGTAATTTCAATTCTACCTTTCAAGTCAACTTATAAATTACTTTTGACTACAGAAGCTATTTTTTTTCAAAACTGGTAATTTATATGACTGATTGCATCTTCGAAGTTGATTTATAAACCTGCAGGGATAATTGGAATTTATTATGAGTGAGTTGGTAAGATGTGTTTGGAAGCTGAACAAATGAATGCACCCCCAGTTCTGCACTTGAAGTCTTGTTGATGCTATGCAATCAGACATCATTTTTTTTAACTCTGTTGAAAGCCCATCATAGGATTAGCAGAAAAAATTGATAGATTTATTTCTTTCTTTGATTTGCCTTCAATGATATTTTTGATATTTGGCAAGTTGATGGATTCAGTAGATACTGAAAACTTACTGAAGATTGGGAATGCTGGTCGAACTACCTGACTTTAGTTGGTTCTTGAATGTCAGAGGCCATTTGATTGTGTTATATTCGGCATATGTGTTTGAAGTACATGGAAAGCTCGCTTGATTGTTCATTGAATATCAAGAAGTTTTGGATAGATTTATTTCTTTCTTTGATTTGCCTTCAATGATGCTTTTGATATTTGGTAAGCTGATGAGTTCAGTAGATACTGAAGATTAGGAATGCTGGTCAAACTACCTGACTTTAGGTGGTTCTTGAATGTCAGAGGCCATTTGATTGTGTTATATTTGGCATATGTGTTTGAGGAACATGGAAAGCTCGCTTGATTGTTAATTGAATATCAAGAAGTTTGGACGTTGGTTAGGCCATTAGGGGTTCTCTCTTCTTTCTGTTCTTCTCTGACTTAACTTTTCATAGTTATCAACCTCTTTCTTTTCCCTGAAGCTATACACATTCATGGTGACGACAATGGATACTCTAGCATTATTGCCTGGTTTCATCAACTTCTTCGGCAAAGCCAAGAATCATTCCAGCTCTCCTGGTGATCTAGCAGTCATCTTTTTGGCTTTTGGTAAACTATCCCTTCATGTTAATGATTTTCATTTTCATGTTTTAGCCTGGCATTCACATTGTTCCCCTTATGCCTCACAGATTGTGTACCTTGATGCAGTTCTTAATTTGGCTTTTGCTCTCAGTCTTCTTTGTTTCCTGGTTATGCACGCATCTCTTGTATCAAGCAACACCACCTCAATAGAGGTAAGAAAGAAAAAAACTGTTATTTTCTGTGTAACTTCATGCTTATTGATGTAAAGAAAAAAACTGTTATTTTCTGTGTAACTTCATGCTTATTGATGTATGTCCCTCAAGCTGCAAAAGGTCATGATACGTGAAATTTGTGTTATTTTGATGAGAGTCAGCTGAATCATGACAAAGCAAAAGCATGGTTTCTTTTTAAGAGCGAAGTCATGTCTATGAAATGCATAATTAATGGACTCGCATGCTGTGAAAATGCTGCTATGGCCTCTTTCAACTATTTAATTCATTTTTTGACATGCCACACATTTAGCATAAGAGTAAAGAAATAGGTCGAGCATTTGTTCTCCTTTGAATACTGCATGTAATCTTTCGAAGATCATGTTCAGGTTTATGAGAAGAAAGGAGCAGCCAGGTGGAAGTACGACTTAGGCAGGAAGAAGAATTTTGAACAGGTGATACCTGCTGTGCTTCTTTATCTTTATCTTTCTTGTATCTGCACAGTACCTGGTGAAAGAATGTCTCTTGTTTGGCAGATAATAGACAACTTTAACTACCAGTTTATATGTGCTAATCTACAATTTTGCACTCGTTGATCACACCTCTAAACAATTGATCTATGTTTGCAAGATTTGGAACTGAAAAAAAGAAGGATCATTCTGCTTCTAAGGAACTTCATATCTTAGCTTTCGGGGTGAAATGTAGTTGTGAAGGCTGCCATTTCTAGAGATAGACTTTTGGCCTTTATATTCAGCTCTTCTGCTAAGAATAAATTTGTCATTGCTCCTATTTTTTGTCTTAAAAGGTTTTTGGCACAAAGAAGGCACTGTGGTTCTTTCCATTATTCTCCAAGGAGGATGTGGATAAAATACCTGCACTTCATGGCCTAGATTTTCCAATACGTGCAGATCTTGAATCCTGAGGCTTGGTGAGGTCATGATCCTTCCTCTTACCACTGCTGGAGTTTCTGGAAACGCAGTTAACACGGGATGAAAAAGGTTTAGTCCATTCTACTTCATTTATTCATAACCTTGGTTATGAGAAGATGCATAGGAAATTTACGGGCAGCCACGAATATATTTGCTTTGCCATGGGATGTTGATTTTTGGAGTGGGTATCATATCAGAAGGATAACTTATGTACTATTTAGCAAAGTGGGAAGTATGTAGCATCTGATGATATAACAATTACATTGGAATGGCATAGCAAAATCTACAATTTTGGCCATTGCAAGTATGTAGATTTGATGGCAATTTTTCTGCCATCCTCTTTATTATGTGGTCTCCTTCCGTGTTCACCAATCATGTTGCAAATCCAAAATTTATTTACATTGACTTCTCGATTCTTCTCCTCCATTTAAATTCCGTAAAATATATTTGGTGTATTGACTTGTTGATTTCTCTTTCATATTATGATTCATCAAAATGTATTAGATATGTTGGTATTATTTTGTTCGATCAACCAGATTTCAAACCCCTGTAAGGTAACATGGAATTCTACCAGCATCTTTTGCTCTCTATCAAAATTCTTTTGATTTCCTTGCACAATCTTGATGAAACATTCATGATCTTGCTTTGGCGTTGGTCCTTCACCCCCAGTTGCACGTTTTTTTCTTGTTACGAACGAGAGTTTCAAACCCAAATTATACTAACTGGAAATTCGTAAGAGGGGTGGATGATGAGTGCCGTTTGAGCTACCAGCTATTGACATTAGAGTTCCATGTTTTTCTTCGAAATTGAGCGTGCACATGCATGTAAAATCTTCGTGAATCCTTTCAATCAGGACATACTCGTATTTGAATAAACTATAACCAAAGAACAGATGGGAAGATAAGACCGGGGGAGGCAATGTCCTTGCCTCCGCAAACCATTCGTGATATAATGACCTTTGATTATCAACAGATTATAATATAATTGCTTCTATATGAGTTGCTGTTATTGTTGTATTAAAACGACAAGTTGATGCCCACCATCACATTTCACGCCTATGATCTGAAACAGCTGTCCTTTATTTGTTCTTAACTTCATTAGAACGCAAAAGACTACTGAGATATTCGCTTAGGTTATCTATTAACACATACATCCACCAACTAATCGACATCTCAAGATACCACGGTTTGTTTGTTACATGGCATTGCCCTAATAAACTTAATTTAATTTGCAGTATAAGTTACTGGTGAGCATTTTAGCTAGTCCCCCATGGCAAGGTGGTCTCCAATTCAAGTCTTATATATATATATATATATATATATATATATATATATTAAGAACTAAAAAATGGCATTAAGCATATAAAATCTTGCTTTAAACTACTGTCATGCATGCAAGCAAATCCTACACGAGTAAAAACCTACAAGTAACGTTTCTAACAAGTAACCAACTAAAACACACATGTATCGAATCACTTGCGATTTCTTTATAGTTTCTTTCAGTATCAACTGAGTCACCTAACCTAAACATCAAGTCCACTCGTTTTCTGAGAGATGTCATCATCTACCTTATAATTACAGGTCTCGGAGACGACAACAGCGAAGCAAGCAATTACCGGAGTAACAAACAGAATGAGACCGAAGGGCACCATCCACAGCTGACTGTTTGTAGGGTGATATTCATAATCCCACAAAAGCAGTAGTAATCCTCCTGCCATACTCACCAAAAATGACCAAACACAAATTATGTATGCCTTCACTTTCTTCTCAGAACACTCTTGGATTGCCTCATACTTCTCTTTCTTGAATGCTCCCATCAACCAAAAACAACTGATCGGGCCTGGATCCCCTGGAAATCAAGAACGAAGAAAAAGATTGAACTACCATCCATCATGTATATCTTAAGCACAACAAACTGTAGAACTTACCTTGGTTTGGAGGGGAATTGGAGGTGTATCAATTTTGTTAAATTAATATGGTGTTAGAGAGACAGGTTAAAGAGCCGCTTGCAAAATGAGACGAGCAGTGATATATATATACATACAGGACCTGCTAAGAAGGCAAGAGCCCCATGACAAAGTATTGGTCTATGTCAAGTGATATAACAGAAGACTGATATTTGAGCTATAACCAGACGTGCCTTTTTATCGAAGTTGTTATTTGTAAAATGAATACTTATTTAGAGAAGAAAAGGATTACGTCGTAGGCTTTAACACTAGTGATTGATGAAGCCATGTGGGTTAGATTCGATTTGTCTTTTTAATATTGATGACTTCGTGGATTTTCTGACCGGTGGCTTGTTTGTTTCCAGGAAACAGTTGGGTTCAGGTTAAAAAAATTTCAAGAAAAAAAGGAATAATATTTATTTCCTTTTTTAATTAAAAAAACTACTTGTAACGAATATACTTATATTTTATCTAATTTTATTTAAAAATTATTTTTATAAAAAAACATGTTTGTATATTATGTAAATTTAATAAGAAATCACGAATCTTTTAATTTAATGTATTTGTTTAAATATTTTTAGCTAGATTCCTTATTAGTCATTTTTAATTTAAAAAACATAACAATAAGATTCAACTAAATATTATTTAACTATTTTAAGTATTTATAAGTATAATTAAATAACTAATTATATTAAGCAAGTACTGTTTTTATTTCACTGTACAATATCAAATAATACAAGATAATGCTGCACAATATAATAACCCCAAATAACGTAACACAGTAATAGGAAACATGTTCCAAACATCCTCAATACTCAGATCTTCACTTTGTGAATACTAATTTATATTCATTAGATGTTCAGTGATGTGATTACCAAGAAAATATTACTATATAAATGAAAGAAATATAAATAAATAAATAAATGTAAAATGTCATTTTTACTAACTCAATTTTTTCCTTTTAACAGATGAACTCGATTTCTAATACAATTAATTTTTTTATAATTTTTTTAAACTTATTTTCTATAAAATTATTATAATATAAAATAAATATTTTATATTTAGTTGATTCTCAATTTTACTAATGTTTATTTTTATTATTATATTATTAAATAAAAAATAATTTAAAAAATAAATTTATTAAACTAGTGGAATCTTTAATCCAAATTGCTGGTTTTATAGATTAAATCATGAAATTTAGGTTGATATAATCAATCACCCTTTAAATATTATAAAGAAAGATATCATATTAAAACAAAGAAGAAGTAAAATCACGTTTTTTATTTTATTGACAGTTTAAATTATTTTTGAATTCATTAAATCAACTAAATTTCATAAAACTAACTCTCAAAAAATTGATTTTAAACTAGAACCAATAAAAATTAAAAATTAATTCTCTGGCCAGTTTAATTAAGCCAAATGGTTAATTAGAGTAAGAATATTTTCAATTGCTGGTTTTATAAATTAAATCATGAAATTTAGGTTGATATAATCAATCACCCTTTAAATATTATAAAGAAAGATATCATATTAAAAAGAAGAAGAAGTAAAATCACGTTTTTTATTTTATTGACAGTTTAAATTATTTTTGAATTCATTAAATCAACTAAATTTCATAAAACTAACTCTCAAAAAATTGATTTTAAACTAGAACCAATAAAAATTAAAAATTAATTCTCTGGCCAGTTTAATTAAGCCAAATGGTTAATTAGAGTAAGAATATTTTCATAGATTTAATTTAATTTTTTTTAATCAAACTCGTAATGTATCACATGTCATAAAACTAGTCTCTAATCCGTACCGAATACCAAGTGGGTTCTACCCATGGAGCAGGGGATACAAAACAACAGAATTTTAATAGTATAGTGCATAGTAATTATTTTTTAAAATATTTTTTATCATAGTGCATAGAAATTATTTTTTAAAATATTTTTTTATTTTTTAAAATTAATTTTTAACACCTGCATATAAAAACATATAAAACACTAAATAAAATAATTTTGAATTTTTTAAAAAAAATTTAACAAAGAAAATTTAAAATTCACGAATTGATTTAGCCGCACCTTTTGCATTGGACGTATTAGATTAACTTATACCGGGCTCTTCTCCGATGGAAGCGTATTTTGCCTGCAATGCCGTAACGGCCCTCATCTTGGTCAGTTATATTTAGGGAGGGTGAATTAACAAATTTGCCTTATTCATCGCCAGATCTAGGGCATTGTTGTTGCTTTCCAATCAGCTGCTAATTATAATTTAAAAAATGGAGGTCGGATTGTAAAAAAAAAAATTATTTCCTCCCTCCAAGTTCAAACCGTCATGCCTTACGGTGAGCATGAAAAAACTTCATTTTTTGGGAGCACTAAATCTACGTGGAATTAGACTCTTAAGATTTTTTTGAAGACAAACTTGCATTACAACAAAGACTAAAGCTTTTGGCGTTTTTAATGTAGCAAAAAAAAAAAAAAAACTTTGGACTTTCACTCACATTTTTTGAATAATAAAGTTTTTATTTTTTTTATTTTGAACCTAAACTTTTTTTTCAATCTTTGGATAAAATGCTTATGGTTTGTTAATCAAGAACAAAATTAAAAGTCAAGAGGATTAAAGTAGAAAAGAATTGAAAATAGATGGTGGTTTCAAAAATAGCATAAAAAGTTCATTTTAGTCCATGTACTTTTGATAATGTAGCCTTTTGGTCTCTCGAGTTTAGAAAAAAAAGTCAATTTTAATTCATAACTTCATTTTTTTTATTTTTTTGGTTTTTTATTTGAGAAAAGAACAAGAAAGTTGTTCATGGTATAAAAAAAATCAATTAACATGATTTCAGCTATAAAAAAAACCGATTTTGGTTTCAATGACTTGCATTCATTGACATAAGTTCATCCAGGATATTTCATATAGCCTGACGTGGTAGATTTGATATAGATTTTTTTATTTTATTTTGGTTGATTTTGGATTTTAGATAATTTTAGGTTATTTGAGATTATAAATGAGTTTATCAAAGTTTATAGAGAGTTTTATAGGTGTTTTTAATTTAAAAATATATTAACAAATAGAGGGAGGGCAATGCATCATCTATCCTTTAATGTTAAGGGAAAAAGGCTTGGCCTCCAGACCAAACCTTTGTTTATGGGCTAAGGTGTGTGGACAATCCTAAATGCCTGATTCTTTTTATTTTTTGTTAAAAAAATTATGTATTTTTATCGCTTTAAAGTTAAAAATAATGATAAAAAAATCATTCTATATTGTTGAAAGGTTCTTTTTATTTAACTTAAATTTTTTATTATTATTTAACTTTAAAAAATAGGTCATTTTTAGTCCACAGAATTGCCCCTTTTTTATATATTTATAATTTGATACAAAAGATTCATGCACTTGATGGTTTTGTAACTAGATGAAGACTAATTCCACCCTATCCTTAACAAGTACAACTAGCGTGGTAATAGCTCCATTATTTTTTGAAGTTGATTATAAACAGCTGATTGGCTCTAGTTTCGAATCTTTCGGATAACAGACAGAAGAAGAGGTGGACAAATTACCAAAGGCTTTGAACTCTTAAAACAAGGAACTTGGGCCTTGGCCTGCTCGGTGTAATATCCCCTTGCAGAATGGAAGTCCATCGGAATGAAGGACGGAAAACCCCTAACTCCTATCTACCATCGGAATTTTATGCCTTTCCGGTTCAAAGCAAGCACAGCAAGATTGTCTTATATAGTTGGCAACCAGTTAGAAAATCAGCAGATCTAGTACGGTCCCTTTGGGTCTAGGCTTATTCATCCCTCAAGGAGCCATTCCAGGCCTAGTAACTGAAAAGGGTCTGCACAAACAAGTCATATAAAACTTCATCCTCGACAACAAATACGGCAAGTAATAAGAAAGGAACTTAGGTATAGAACCAGGTTAGGTCTCGAATGATACGAAAGAAACCTTCTTGTCACACCAGTTGGCCTACTCTTACTCTCTTTTCTTCTGGGTCACATTTTATCATCGCAGTCGTGGTCACGAGAAATGTGCCTCCACTCAAGAACGAGTGGGCAAAGTTCGTCAAGGTCCCAAGTAGAGTACCCAGATGAATCCGCTCATGGAATGGAAATCGATGTTGAAAAGGAAGGGATTGAAAAATGAATGGTTTCTTTTTACGTTTTAAAAGATTTTTTTAAAAATGTTTTTTTATATTTTCAATCATGTTAAGAATAAATTTGAAAAAATAAGAAAAATATTAGTTTAATTAAAAAAATACAATAAAAAGTAAGAATAGCCTAGACAGAGGGGCTCGTAGCAACAAATTCCCCATCAGAGAGTGACTACAAACCTCTGGACGTTCTCCATTATTGAAACAAGACAAAATTGCATTGTAAGTAGTTTCTATCTAATAGCTGCCTTTCAGTTATCTTCGTCTTTGTTGTGGTCCCCCTATTACGCGTAATGTCCAATCAGGACACGTGCTCGCCTAATTTGTCCACCCTGTTGTGTGTTTAGTGAAAATGTGACAGGCACACGTGTGGATTTTCCTTCGTACGATAATCTGAAAGAATAAAAAGTGAGAGTAAATTGGTTTTGAGAATTATATTAATGATTTTCTTATTTAAATGACGAAGAATCATGTTTATGAGTTTGATTTTAAAAATATAAAATTATATATTTAAATTGAAAGTTGCATGCTAAATTTGATGATTTAAATTAAATGGTATGAATTTTGTAAACACCATCTATGAGGTCCTTGCCTTGAGTTGAGAGCATAAAAAAGAGTAAACGGCAGGTTAACTTCTGATAACTGGGATGACACGACACTTTTAACGTACGGGAAACACCCCTGTAAGGAATTAAGCTATTTTCCTTTATTTTTTTTTTTATCTTATTTTGTAATTCAATTTTGGAAAGAATACGAGAAGCTTATGTAAGGGCCGAGTAGGTAAATTCACAGGCTCTACATATCTGAATTCCCTCTCGGTAACTTTTTTTATTCAGTTCAACTTGTTTTTTTCCGTTAAAATTAAATTTTTTATAGGTTGATGGGTAAAACAAATTTTTAAAAATAAAAAAATATTTTAAAAAATAATATTTATCATATAACCATACAACTCATTAAAAAAAAAAAGCAAAAATTATATAAAAAAAATTTCAGACACGGAAACATTGATATTTGGATTGAATGGTGGTAGATCACGTTACGTATAATTTCCTCTCTGCGCTGGGACCCCCGTTATCTCTCCTGCAGTATCGCACCATCCTCGAAATTTCCCTCCTCTCTTCTTCTTCTTCTTATGATCCAAGCAAAAGCCACTCCGTTTATTTACAACACCAACAACAACAACAAAAACGAAGTCAGTAGTTGATCGGACAATTTCAATCTCTATTAACAAACAAATAAATAATCATGAGTGCTAAGGTACAAGGGACGAGAACACGAGTAGGAAAGTACGAGTTAGGGAAGACCATAGGTGAAGGCAGCTTTGCCAAGGTCAAGGTCGCTAAAAATGTTGAAACCGGTGATGTTGTTGCCATTAAAATTCTCGATCGTGAGCAAGTCCTCCGTCACAAGATGGTCGAGCAGGTTCAATAATATTCATTTTGATTTTTTTTATCGAGTTTTGTTTTGTTAGTTTCTGTACTGTGTGAACCAGGAGTATATTATGTTCTAATTATGATGATTCATTAATGTTATACCAATGATTAAGAAAAATGGTTTTGTTGTTTTAATTTTTGTTGGCAGTTAAAAAGAGAAATATCAACAATGAAGCTGATTAAACATCCCAATGTCATCAAGATTTTTGAGGTACGTAAATTTTGTTTTTCTGAAAAAAGGAAAAGTTTATTGAAATTTTTATGAATGCGACTGACTCTACCTTGCTGCTTGTGGATTTGCTTGCAGGTCATGGCAAGCAAAACTAAGATTTACATTGTTATCGAGTTTGTTGACGGAGGAGAGCTCTTTGATACGATTGTAAGAAATTAATATTTTGCTTGAGCTAGTTTCTCTGATTTATTATTACGTTTCGCGTTTCCAATTTTCATTTCAGTTTTTCTTGTACATTAATGATGTTTTTAATTAGTTAGCAGTGTCCGGTAATTAAAAAAATTAGGAGTGTTTGATTGTCCCTTTGCTCCTAGGCTAAGCATGGGAGACTTAGAGAGGATGAAGCCAGGAGATATTTCCAGCAGCTTATTAATGCCGTGGATTACTGCCACAGTAGAGGCGTTTTCCATAGAGATCTGAAGGTTTGCCAAACTACCTTAATTTTCTAAATTCATTTTTCTGATAATGGGTGCACGTGTCGAGAAATATATTTGATTCCTGCCTCGTTCAACTAGGAGTTTGGTTGTTTATCACTAATGGCTACTCTGCATTTTGCAGCCTGAGAACCTTCTTCTTGATTCACACGGTGTTCTTAAAGTTTCGGATTTTGGATTGAGTGCACTGTCACAACAATTGCAGGTAAGCATGATTTGATTGTTGCTTACATCCTATCCTGTAGGTTTATGTTGTAAGGATCAGCTTTCTCTTAAGTGGATTAATTCAAGAAATGTGTTATTTGATACTTGGATTTATTGCATATTTCCTGCCATTTACATTATGAAAATACATGTTCTGTAAATGTAGACTCTGGCCTCGTTCTCTTGAATTATAGAAACTGATAACTATTCAAAGCTTATGACTGGAAACAGATTTTTTCTGCACCATACAATAATGAAGGCAGACATTTTTCTTACTATTTTTCTAATTTTAGGGTGATGGGCTGCTTCACACTGCCTGTGGAACACCGAATTATGTCGCACCTGAGGTATTTCACCTTTAATTTGGCGGAAATAGAATTCTTGGAATGATGCATTACTGCACTATATTGATAGCATATGCTATTTTTCTTTCCAGGTTCTCAAAGACAAAGGTTATGATGGCACAGCATCTGATGTATGGTCTTGTGGGGTCATTCTCTATGTACTTATGGCTGGATACTTGCCTTTTGATGAGACAAGTCTTATGGCCTTATACTTAAAAGTAAGTAAAATTGAGCTTTTGTTTCACGATTACAAGTCAAGAGAATTTCCTTATACATACTAATACATGTCTGAAAGTAATTTCAGATTTGCAGTGCTGATTTCACATTTCCATCTTGGTTTTCATCTGGTGCAAAGAAACTGATAAAGCGTATTCTTGACCCAGAGCCTCTTACAGTGAGATCTCGATCCCTCTCTTTGTTGAATGAGCATTAAATACTACTTGTACATTTTGAGTTTTCTGCTGGACTTGTGTTAGTAGCGTCATTAGAGATTATCCTATAAAATACCTAATGCAATACCTCATGATTGCATCTGCCACAGAGGATAACAGTTGCTGAGATTATAGAAGATGAATGGTTCAAGCAAGGATACAGGCCACCACAATTCGAGCAGGAAGAGCATGTAAATGTAGATGATGTTGATGCTGTTTTTAATGATTCGAAGGTTAGAATTTTAATCACAAAAGCTAACTAATTTACCTTAGACAAGGCATAAATACAATGTTTGCTAGCACCAAACCTTCTGCAGATTCGTGTAGAAATATCATTCAGAATGTTTAATCCCTGCATTCAAATCTTGGCACTGGATTTTTTTGGTCTTTGGTTTGTGTTCACGGCATTGGAAACCAACAATGAATTCAACCTGAAATGGCAATACAGTAGCAGAACAATTCTAATTCTAGTTATTTACTTTGCAGGAACATCTTGTTACAGAAAAGAAGAAGAAACCTGCGTCGATGAATGCATTCGAGCTTATTTCTAAGACACAGGGATTTAGCCTTGAGAATTTGTTCGGGAAGCAGGCAGTATGTGTAACTAGAATTCTTTCATTGCTTTTAAAATATTAAATTCCTGGTGCCACTAATGTGACAGCGACATATCATGGTGGCAAAGTTTTGAAATTCGTAAAGGCATGGTTTTGCCAAGGCGATGTTTAAGCACTTGCCATTTATATTTTTGTTTAAGAGTATGAAGCCTTTTGGCCCTTAGTTTGAATTGGTCCTGACTCAACCCCTCTCCATATTTGTATAGATAATTAGTGATTACTTTATGCTGTCTATCCTCTGATCTTTCTTTTCCAATGAAGTTAAAGCTCGTTATAGCTACCTGAGTTTTCCTCTTGGCCTCTCTTTGTTTGTTGTAGGGTGTTGTGAAACGAGAAACCCGTATTGCTTCTCATAGCCCCGCAAATGAAATTATGTCTAGAATTGAGGAAGCTGCAAAGCCTCTGGGGTTTAATGTCGACAAACGAAACTACAAGGTAAAGTTTTCTCCCTCCAGTTATGTTTATGCATTTTAATTTCCTTTCTTTCAATTTCCATGTCCCTTCTTTTTTAACCAACATCTACCTAAACAGCTAGCTTTTACATTATAATTCTGTTATGTAAATTGAATACCTTTTTTTCCAAACTATTCTAGATGAAGCTGAAAGGAGACAAAGGTGGGAGGAAGGGCCAACTCTCTGTAGCAACTGAGGTAACATTGAGTTAATTCATGATACTTTTGAATCCCTTCAGAATGAAGTAAACAATAACTTTTAACATATGAGAATAATGTTTTTCCTTGCTCTTAAACCTCATTGTTTATATTATATTCTCCAAGCCCCCAACACATGTAATTTCACAATCATGTTTGAGCACTCACGACTGTCTTGTCCTTCTCTTTAAAGAAACGAAAAGGTGTCTGTCCACGTTATAATGCAAGGCAATTACATGCTAACTTTCTCAGTAATGAAAATGCATGTCCCACATCTTACACGGCAATTAGTAGGAATCTGTTTTATTTTATTTTTTCCAGATTTTTTTGTAGTATGGATTTTATTTGTTTTTGTGCATCTTCTGGGCAGTCCTTTTTTTCTCTCATCAATGGTGACCACATGTTAATGCGTGTTCAAAGCCATTCTTTAGTGTGAATCACAGGGTTTTGGTTAAAAAAATGATAAATCCATTGTGTTTTATGCAAGCACTCAGTCGTGTGCTGCATTTCGGATGTTCAGCCACTTCTGGCTATGGACCGATAAAGGTACTCCTGTCTGCACTGTTGGTTTAACAGGAGTTCCGAGAGCTTAGTCTCATTGAAATTTTTAGCCATTAGACCTTGTTCTAACTAACAATCCAGGTTCAGCTTAACTGAAAGCCTCAAGTATCATTTCAATTATTGAATGGTTCTCTGGCACCCAATCAGAACTATGTAGGCTAATGATTGTGCATTTCAAGTATTTGATGCCACACATGGTAGTTGACAGCTTGTTGCTTGTGGACTTCCAGGTGTTTGAGGTAGCTCCCTCTTTGCACATGGTGGAGCTCCGGAAAATTGGTGGTGATACGCTGGAGTTTCACAATGTATGTCTAACATTCTAATTTTTATATATCGGAAACCAGAAAAGACAAAAAAATGAAAAATGAAAAAAGAAGTAAAGAATTCCTTGTGGATAGGATGGAAGAATTTTAGCAGGCCAAGTTTGTGGTTGACTAATATAGCATACATTTCTCTTATCATGTGGCAGTTCTACAAGAGTTTCTCGTCAGGTTTAAAGGATGTAGTCTGGAAATCTGATCAAACTATAGAAGGATTAAGGTAAATTCTCTGTGCTTCTACACAAGTGCGTAAGCCTGTATGGAGTGCACATTTAATTGACACGCGATTCTCTTGTTCAGGTCATAGCAGAACCTTTCCTGCTGGTTCCAGTCCTTTACTCATTCTTGGTATTTGTTTTAGCCATTGCGCATTATATTTGAGAGTGTATGCAATGTAAAAGTTTTGATCGGTTGGCGTGGTGGTAGGGAGAATTGGAACTGGAGCTCCCAAAAGATGGACCCCTGTTCGTGCAACGCCCCCCCGCCCCCACCGGCAATTCATCCTTTTCCCTCTTCTCTTTTGCTAGCTCTGCATTCATTTCTTGACCTGAATAAATCGAGGTTTTCCAATTTGATGATGGTCCATTCAATGGGAGAAACCCCCCATTTGGAACGGAAGAATTTAAAAGATGGCTCTTGTGAGTTCCAAGAGGTTCTATTCAATGGAATTTAATGAAATCTCTCACCGGACCTGTTACAATTCAATGGTTTTCCTTTCCTCTTCCTCCCGTGTTTTTTCTCCGTGGTGGTTCATAAATCCAATATTAGAGAATTGAAAGTAAAATCCCACAATGATTTCAATCCCCAGTTGAAGAAATCCGAAAATAGACGATGAAAAGAAGAAAGCTTATTTTATATGATTTGGCTAAGGAAATTTGTAAAATATATGTTGCTTGGGCTTATGAGTGCCATAAGAATTACTTGTAAAATATATGATGCTTGGGCTTATGAGTGCATATTGCTTCCGGGGAATCGGAAACATCAACGTAATTGTGAAGCCTGGTATGCAGAGTTGCGAGTAAGGTTAGTAAAATCATTTTTCCAACCATGATTGCTGTAAGGTTCAAGAAATTGTGATAATATTGAATCGTAAAATTATGAGATTATATAAACTATATAAAATAAGTAGGAGTAGTAATAGCATACGGTGCTTCTATTTTTTTCATCCACAAACTTTATTTTTGTGTCATTTCATCCTCGCAATTGATGTTTTCTTTTATTTATGCACTATAATTCTCTATTATTTGTATTTCATCGCATGTGCAAGGTATCTAAAAGTGTTTGGTCTATGAATCGGACATCAATTTTATTAAAAAAAAAGGTTTAATTTATTGTTGGAAAACTTAAAACAATAAGGACCAGGATTACGAAAAAAGCATGCATCTTATTTTTACTATTTAAGAAGCGTTAAAAAAAAACCCACAACTTGATACCTAGAGTTTCAATTTTTTACACATTTGATCTCTATTATTGCAGGATTTTATGTTTAAACCCTAAATTTTATTTTGTTCGTGTGTGGATCCCTTTACGAGAGGGAGAGAAGAGGGGAAAGTCATCAAAAAAACAAAAAAGAAAGGAGAGAAAACATTTAGTCATTCAAGTTCAAAGAACAAAAAATACTAATTTTAGTATTAATGAATTTTTAAAAGATGAAATTTCATGAAAATGGTTAGAAACTTTCTTTTTGCCGAAAGAAGATTCAAGCTTAATTTTTTTAAAAAAAAATCATGATATTTTTTATTTTTAAATTGATTGTATGGTGTTTAGGGTTGAAAGTAGATTTGCTTATATAAAAATAAGTTCAAATTGAGTTTTTTGCGTTGAAAAACTTAAAACCCTATTTTTCAATCATGAAGGATGATTAAAATTCAAACTAAGTGATAATGCTGCCTTGTTTATTTATTAATAAAATTAGACAAGTGACAAGTCATCCATCCATTTAAAAAAAAAACCCTAGGTGTGCGCTTGAGTTTTTTTTTGGAACAATCAGATAACATTTTTTTATATTATCTTTTAATTATTTTTATTTTTTATATTCAATAAAATGATTAAAATAATATTCAAAATATTACCTATTTTTGTTATAGTTTTCAAACTAGATTATATTTTATATAATAATATTAATAATTAGTTGTGAATTATTATATGTGAACTTGACATGCACAATCTATTAAAAACAAATTGCCCATGAATATTAAGTGAGAATAAAATATCTATTTCATAATTTTTATTATAAATCTTTATATTATTTTCTCAAATGATTATTCTTTTATTTTTTTCTCTTATCATATACAAATTATTGAGTCATTTTTTTTTATTGAACCTTGAATTTTAAATTATGATAAGTTTCTGTTTAAAATACAATTATGCTCATAAAAGAATAATTTTGTTAGGTATAAATAAATAAATGAACACCGAAAGGGAGTTTTGATTCAAAAGATATATTTTTTTTCTTCATAATTCAAATAATTTAGATTCTTATGAATATTTATTTTAATAATCTTTACTTTTTTAATTCAAAAAAATGCTGCTGGATATGTTTTTGTAAGAAAAGTGATTTAATAAAAAAAATTCATCTGACAAAATATATTTCTTTTTTAGAACTTAGATTATAAATATCTATTTTCATTAAATGGAACTAAATTAAAACTGATTTTAAAAACCTCCTGAGGCATCCCACGGGAAGAAAAAAGTTCTAAAAAGAAAAATTAAAATAATAATAAAATATATCAATAATCTAGCAATCAATACCGACGATTATTGTGTATGATAAAAAGTTAATTTTCAATTTACAGCATGGAGTTGTCGGTGAATCTAGTTTCTTCGTTTGAGCTGTCAATTACTTTGCTTCCAGAGTTTTCAAAATCAAATTAGCTAATAAAATTTTTTTAGTCCCTAAAATTTTGAGAATTAATCAAACAAAACCTTTTACAAATAATATGTCAAAATAAAGTTTTACACTTTAATTAAAATATTCAAATGATTCTTTGTGTGTCAGTTATATTTAAAAATATAAGTACAAAAATCATTAAAAATAATAGAATGTATACCAAACTAAAAATTACACAGAGCTCATTAATAAATAAATACATATTTTATGTTTTTTTTCTTTGATTATTCAAGCGTTGCATTAAGTCTGAGTATCAGAATTATTTGATTTTATTAAATATATTATTGCTTTGTTAGTTGATGATTATATATACCCTTGTCACAATACAAAGCCTAAAAAATTTATTTATCCCCTGGAATTGGACTTTTTAGTTTCAAGATTATAATTTTTTGTGCTCTTCCTAATCCTATTTTAATTTACAAAGTATTTCTTTTTTTTTTCAATGTAAACTATATTAAAAGAAATATAAACATAATTTTTTAATTGTATTTTATATTTTTATAAAGATAAATTATAGTTGTATGTCTTAGCTATTATTTGAGGGTCTTCTATTTTATTAAGGGTGTTTTTTAAAGTATATTTTACTTAAAAATACATTAATTTTTTTTATATAAAATAAAAAAAATATTAATTTAATTTTTTTTTAAATTACTGAACGACCGAAAGCTGGTTTTGCCTGTGATCTGTCGAACCCAACAACCTCTGTCAATCTCAACCACCTCATCTTCATCTGTAAGAAGTTATCTCCTCGTAATAAGTTCTCAGCCTCATCAAGTCAAACATGACTGTTTTTTTTTTAATGCTTTACAGTGTGAGTTCGGCAAATTCATTGCGTCTTCATAAGCAATTAATTTCGCATGCACTTCAAATTAAAGTGAGTTTAGTTAGTGTTAGATAATGCGATGAAACTTGTTTTTTTTAAATTAAAATGAATTTTTTTAAGTTTTTTTAATTCTTAACATTAAGACATCAAAACAATAAAAAAAACATTTTAAAAAAATAATTTAATGTTTTTTAAGTAAAAAATAATTTTAAAAAATAAAAAACAGTAGCGATTTTTACTTTAGAGTTTTGTTCAACAACTCACGTTTAATATAGAATAATTATTTGGATAATTTAACTTTTTTTTATTATTCAAATTCGTTTTTCTAGTTAATAAATATATTTTTATATGTCAATTTTTTTTTTATGTCAATTTTAATTTCTCATGAGCGGGACCTCGGAAAAATAAAATATCTGACTGAATTAAATCAAACAATCTATTTTGGGATTGTTGGCTTATATTTTTTTTCCTCAGAAATTTATGAATCAAATCAAACAAAAAGATTTAACAGTATAAAATAAAATTTAAAATAATTTTTTTTTTCATAAAACCGCGATTTGACACAAAAATAAAGACCGTTGGATTTTGAATTCGATAAGTTAGCAGAAAAGTTGTCTGACCCTCTAATTTATTGTTCCCCGAACAGGCCAGACACCCTCCTCGCCATTATTCATGGCTTTCTTTTCCCTTCTCCTGGATCTGCTAGCCCCCATCCTTTCCCATTCCATTCCCATTCCCAGTCGGCCTTCACCTTATTGCCTTGTTTTCTGTTGTATTCACTATTTTTTACTCGTTGACTCGTTGCTGTGAACAATTTTTAGACATGTTTGTTTAGCAGGTTGGTTCAGATCCTCATGAACTTCCATCTCGCATCCAGTCATGTTTATTTTGCTCACAAAAATTAGTGTAGTGATTTCCAGTATATTTGCTCACAAAACCCTAAAAAGTAAATAAAAAACACAAAAGAAAAGGAATTAATGAGGGACTCAGACTCCTTTCTATGTTATTACTTGGAAGAAACCTCCCGTCGTTCACTCATGGGCATGGGACACTAATTGCCCCCACTTCCAATAACAAAACAGTAACCAACATTTCCTGATCCAGGTATGGAAATTTTGGACTCACAATTGGATGTGCTGTTTTCATTGCTTTTATCGATTCCCGTGCGTGGCTGTTGAGCTCTCCATCCTTTGTTCTTCATTTTTAACTACTCACCATAAATTCAAGAATATCATCCCACTTGCAAGTGAGGTTCTAGTCTAGCGGTGAGAGGGGCTTGTCCTCTTTCTCCGCACCTGGGTTCGAACCTCACCATGCACGCCTGTCACCCACGCGGTGCCTTACCTGCTCACTGGGCTTGTAGGATGTTCAGTGGGCCGTGGGGATTAGTCGTAGTGCGCGTAAGCTGGCCCGGACACCCCACGTAAAAAAAAAAAAAAATATCATCCCACCTTTCCTGTAGTCAATATGCTATAGCCTTACTCATAGTTGATTTGATATAAGGTTTGAGTTATGAATTAGACATTTTAATGCATTGATCAGTTAATCTAAGTTTTTTTTTTTTTAAAAAAATAATGCTACAACATTATTGTTTAATAAAAGAAATAATGCTACATGGAAACTACCACTTATGTTAAGATAAGACATTTTAATACCTAGCAGGTTGTGTGGTTCAGTGGTGTAGGCGCTGTTTTTCTTCTTTCAAATTTCAGTTCAAGTCCCAGTAGCAGTGGGACTGAAGAGTGATTTTCTCCGTGTCTCTATTGGATCCTCTCTGTGTGGTACGTCTGTCACCCCCGCGGTGCTTTATCTATTCATTGAACTTGCAGGATGTTCAGTGGACCGTGGGATTAGTCGTGGTGCGTGCAAATTGGCCACGTTAATAAAAAAAAAAAAAAGACATTTTAATGCATTGATCAGTTAATCTAAGTTTTTTTTTTAAAAAAAACTAATGCTACAACATTATTGTTTAATAAAAGAAATAA